AAGCAACAATTCTAATAAACCATTCACAGGGCTGTACACAGAAAGCTACAATATGCTGATGAAAGAGGTGAAACAAATCAAAGAAGATCTCAATAAACTGCAAGATATATCATGTTTGTGTATTGGAAGACTCAGTATAGTAGTCCTCAGTTATCCCTGAACTGATATATAGGCTTGATATAACGTTATCAAAATACCAGTAACGTATTTTACATATATTGACAAGCTTATTCTATAGTTTATATGTAAGGGGAAAGGAACTAGCTTTAAAAGTTTTTTTTCAAAGCAAGAAAACATGTAAAGATCACTTTATCTGATGCTAAGACTTATTTTATGGGTACATTAATTGAGACAGTGTAGTATTGCAGAGGTATAAACACATAGATCAGTGGACAGAATAAAGAACCCAGAAATATGCTCACAAATATACCCAGCTGAATTTTTAGAAGAGAACAAGAAACTAAGTAGAGGGGGAAATAGCCTTTTCAACAATGGCACTGGAACATTTAGACAGCCATAGCCCCCCCAAAAAAAATTACTTTGATTTAAACCTTATATTTTTGTAAAATTAACTCAAATGGATCATAGATTTAAATAAAAATGTCAGAAGCTTCAAAGCTGAGTAGAGACACTGACACGCACCTCCTCCACAAAGAAGAACAAAAATAGCGAGTAGATAATCACACTTCAAATGGATCATCAAATAGAGAATACTGGAATTCAACATAGAAGTGACAGGCAACACCTAAAGCAAGGAAGTAAATAGAGGCAGGCAGCCTGCTCAGCCAGGATCATGTGTGTGGGAAAAGGGTAAATAAGAGACTCTCAATTGTTCACATTCCCACTAGTCTCCTCCAATCCAAGCCCTTGTGTGTCCTGAAACTGATCTAGAGAGCTGCCTAGAGACTGTTGGTGATGTTGCTCCAGAGAGGGAGTCCATGCCAGGTCCCATACTTCCCGAGTCCTAAGCAGCTACAGCGCAGAACTATTTTGGAAGCCCAGCCCCCATCGTACTGCATCTGGCACTGGGGTCAAAAACCCCCTGCATCTCCACATCCCTGGAACTCCATTGACATCCCCTACCTGCAGCCACCATAGAGGCTGGATGATGCCACTGAGATGAAAGTGCATGCCACTAGCATCAACCCCACTACCTCCAGCACTGGGGCCACAGTGTATTTACACATGCCCTGAGGATAGGCTCTCCTCCCTGCATCTGCCACCACTGCTAGCTGCTGCCTCTAGGTGCTAAAGTGCACCTCACTGGCAGTGACTCTGCTACCCACAGCCACAGAACCACAATACATTTACAAACATCCTGAGGACAGTATCCCTGCCCACAGCTGCCACTGCTGGCTGCTGCTACTGAGACCAAAGCACAAGCCACTGGCAGCTACCCCACCATCCTTAGCTATGGGACCACCACACATTTGCAAGCACCCTGAGGACTGGCTATACCATCCACAGCCACAACCTGGAGCATAAGTGTAAGCTCCCCAGCTACCTGCCCGTAACTACTGACACTGAAAGAAACCTTGCCCTCATCTGGAATAGAATTGCAGTGCAGCCACTGCCATCCCCATCTGAACACCTTGCCAGATGTCTAGGGATCACCACACCGCTACCACCACAGCCAGCAACCATATGCATTACTGGGGTCATGAAGGCAGACCTGTGTAGCCTGGCCCCACTCACCTCCCCAGTGCCCAAGCACACCATCTGGGTGCCTCAGGATCATCCTGCCATATTAGCACCTGAGCACCTTTCCCAGGAACCTGAAGACAGGCTCACACAGCCTACAACTAACACCAGAGCTGGCACCTACCTACATGTGCCACCTTCAGGCCAGAAGACTGATCTGCACAGCCCACAGCCACCACCATCATCAGTACAAACATTTGTCCCACCACTGCTATTGCCATTGCCCACACCACACCTCTTGCCTGAAGCCTGAGCACTCTCCCACCTGCCAAGTCCACTGCTGCCACTACTGACACTGAGGAAAGATGCCTGGACCCACTAAAACTGGTTCCAGTCTCCACCACTTTGGGAACCAAAGATGTTCATACTAAGCCCACCACTGCCCCCATTGGTGCCTGAGCACAGGCCCAATCCCCATTGCTGTCCCTGGCAAAACTTCACCACAGCCTCCACTAACAACTACACTCTGAGCCACTGAAAAAATTATAAATGCCACTGATGCTGTTGAAAAGCCAAATAAATTCTATAGCGGCGAATACACCACGGCACAGCACGTGCCCAGAATCAAAGCCATAGTGCCCTCCCCAGCCAACATCATAGATATATCTTTAGGAAAAAAGTCCTCCCCATCTCTACTAAAAATTCAAAGAAGTTAGCTGGTGTCATGCACCTGTAATCCCAGCTACTTGGGAGGCTGAGGCAGGAGAATCACTTACACCCAGGAGACAAAGGTTGCAGTGAGCTGAGATCGCACCATTGTACTCTAGCTTGGGCAACAAAGGCGAAACTCCATCTCAAGAAATAAAAAAAAAAGAAACAGAAAAAGGAAGTTTCAACAATAGACTAGATCAAGCAGCAGAACTTGAAGACAGGTCTATTGAAGTAACCCACTTGGACAAAAAAGTAAAGCAAAATGAATTTTAAAACCAAAGAACAAAACCTACATGATATTTGAGGCACCATAAAGTGACCAAATATTTAAATTTTTGGTGTCCTAGAAGACAAAGAGAAACCAAGGGCTAGAAAGTGTATTTTTTTTTGTAGTTTATTAATTTTATTTGTTGTACACTAGTGTCTGAAACGAATACATCAAAATACACTTAGGCATTCTATTGCATTTTATTTGGGTTACTTCCAGTATTAGGCTAAACACTGTTGCTACAAATATTCATAAACATGTCTCTGATACCCATCTATCAAGGTTTTTTTAAAGGCAGATGCTGGAAAACTTTTTCTGCAAGAGTCAGCTAGTATATATTTTAGCCCTGAGGAACATGTGGTCACTTGAGTTAAAAAAAAAATAATCCCTGGGCCAGGCGCGGTGGCTCAAGCCTGTAATCCCAGCACTTTGGGAGTTGGATCACGAGGTCAAGAGATCGAGACCATCCTGGTCAACATGGTGAAACCCTGTCTCTACTAAAAATACAAAAAATTAGCTGGGCATGGTGGCGCGTGCCTGTAATCCCAGCTACTCAGGAGGCTGAGGCAGGAGAATTGCCTGAACCCAGGAGGCGGAGGTTGTGGTGAGCCGAGATCGTGCCATTGCACTCCAGCCTGGGTAACAAGAGTGAAACTCCATCTCAAAAATAATAATAATCATAATAATAATCCTTTAAAAATTTAAAAACCATCTTAGATTGTGGGCTGAAGTTTTCTGACATCTAAGACATAAATCATAGGGAGCACAAACCTTCCACATCACAAGACAGTTTTGGGCATAAAGGTTTTACATTTATTTTAGCAGGATTACAGGAGTGTGCCACCATGTCCAGCTAATCTTTTGTATTTTTAGTAAAGATGGGCTTCACCATGTCGGTCAGGCTGGTCCAAAATAGTTATTTGGGCTTTCTTTCCCCACCACCCCTCAAACTCTCACCTCTGGCTGAAAGGTGTTATTTTTAGTCATTTGCTTTTTAAAAAAAATGTTTTGCATTAAATTTTAACATTTCATTTCAATATGACTCTGTAACACGTTTTACAATCAGTTAATCTGAGTCTACCTTTATCACTCCATTAAATGCCCTGTGATCTATCTTTTCTTACAAATTCTTACTCTTGTTTTTAATGATTTGTTAGTTTTACAGTATTTCTTTTTATTTTATCTAAAACTAGTCTTTGTTTAAACTATTAGAAAAGAAGGCTAGGCAAGGTGGCTCACATCTATAAACCCAGCAGTTTGGGAGACTGAGGTGGGAGGATCACTTGAGCCCAGGAGTTTGACACCAGCAGGGTAATATAGCAAGATCCTATGTTTAAAAAAAACTAAATAATTAGCTGGGTATGGTGATGTGCTCCTTAGTCCTGGCTACTTAGAGGCTGAGGCAGGAGGACTGCTTTAGCTCAGGAGGTTGAAGCCTCAGTGAGCCAGGATCACACCACTGCACTCTTGGCCCAAGTGACAGCAAGAACCAGCCTCTAAAAAAATTTTAATTTGAGATTATTTTATAGTTTTACTGAGGTATAATTTATAGAAAATAAACTACACATAAAGTATAGAAGTTGATGAGTTTTTATGTATATATACATCATGAAACCTGACCAACCCCCAAAGTTGCCTTGTGCCTCTTTGTAGTCCCACCTTTCCTTCTTCCCTATAAACTCTTCCCAGCCTCCTGGCTCCAGGTAACCACTGATCTGTCTGCTGTCAACAGAGATTAGGTTGCATTTCTATAATTTAATATCAATGAAATAATATGGTTTATATACTATTTTTTGGCCTGTCCCTCCCTTTTTTTTTGGTCACTCAGGATAATTATGAAATTCATCATGTTGCTTTATCAATAGGTCATTCTTTTTATTACTAAGTAGTATTCCACTGATGAATGTACCATGGTTTGTTTATCCATTCACCTGTAGCTAACCATTTGGGTTGCTTCCAGTATTCATTTCTCTTAAATACCCGGAAGCGGGGTTATATGGTAGAAGTATGTTTCATGCTTAAAACAAACTGTTTCTCCAGGTAGTTGGTTTGAGAGTTCTAGATATATTATACACACAAGTCCTTTGTCAGAAGGACAAAAATATATTTGTTTTTTAAGCCTGTATATTGCTTACCTTTTGTTTGTATTTTTTTGTGTACCACCAATTTCCATTTGGTATCACTTTCCTTCGGTCTGAAAACTTGCTTTAACAGTTCTCACAGTTCGGGTTGGCTGGCAATTAATTCAGCTTTTGGGTGTTTGAAACTCTGTTTCTGAAAAATATTTTTACAAGTATAGAATGCAAGTTTTCTTTGTTTCACTTCTTCAAATAAAGATGTTGCTCCACTGTCTTCTGGCTTGTATTGCTTTAAGTCTGCTGACATTCTTAACTGTGTTCCTCGGTATGCAATGACTCTTTTTTCCCCTCTGGCTGCTTTTAAGATTTTCTCTTTATAACTTTTTAAGACGTTTTCTTCACATTTCTTTTGCTTGGACGTTGCTGCGCTTGTTGGATCTTAAATTATTTTGTTGACCAGGTGGAATGACACTATAGTAAACTGGCATTCCTTTTGTAGGCATAGATCCTTGATTAGACTGATTAGGGAACGTAACAGGCTGTTGATAAGTCTGATGGGCAATTCCTTGAGAACCTTGAGGCAGTGAAACCTGATACGTTGGCACTGAAGTATAGGGGATGACCACTCCTTGAATTTGATTTCCAATGCTGTTGCATTGGCCACTGACTAGGCTCTGTCTCTGGGGTTGCTGAACTCCAACTATTCCTTGGTAGTTTTGCTGCTGGTTGGGTATAACTTGATAACATGTCTGCTGTGCAGGTTGTGGCAGTGGTTGGTTTAGATGTGAATTGTAATGAACAGAAGGGACTGGACGATACTGAGGTTGACTGGAGTGATAGTGGCCTGGAGCACAATAACAGGCTGGCATCTGTGGTGATGGCTGCTGAATATATCCCTGCTGCTGGAGCACAGGCTGGCTGACAGGATGACCAGAGGCAGAATACCCAGCAGTAGGGACTGGCTGCCAAGGTGGTAGGGGAGGAGGAGGAGGAGGTGGTGGTGGCGGTTGTGGTGGTGGTGGTGGTGATGGAGGAGGATGTGGTGGAGGGGCTGCTGTCATGATATAACCAGACTTCTGTGGAGACTGAAGAACCACAGTGGACTGGAACATGGTGGCATGAGGGTCAGAACCATCAGCAGATGGCTGGCGAGCAAGACTCATGTGGCTAAACTGAGACCCAAGGTTATCCTCCCCAAATTAGTTTTCAAAGATTCCTGTTCTCCAGAAGGGTCTAGACAGTGTATTTAATGAAATAATAGCTAAAAACTTCCTGAGTCTAGCAAGAGATTTAGACACCCATATACAGGAAGCTAAGAGATTCCTAAATAGATACAATTGAAAACGATTTTTTCCATGGCATATTAGAGTCAAACTGTCAAATGACAAAGAGAGAATTCTAAAAACAGCAAAAGAAAAGCATCTAGGCACTTATAAAAGAATGCCCATGAGACTAACAGCAGATTTCTCAGCAGAAACTTTACAAGGCAGGAGAGAATGAGATGATATATTCAAAGTGCTTGGAGAAAAAAACACTGCCAGCTGAGAGCACCATACTCAGCAGTTCTCCTTCATAAATGAAGATGGAATAAAGTATTTTTCAGACAAGCAAAAGCTCAGGGAGTTCATTGCCACTAGACCAGCTCTACAAGAAATGCTTAAAGGAGACCTGCACCTAGAAATGAAAGGATGATATCTCCCATCATGAAAACACATGAATATATAAAATCCACTGGTAGAGCAAACAAACAAATAAAAAAAGTGAAAGATTTTAACATTACCATACAGAAAACCATCAAACTACAATGATAAACAATGAGAGAGAGAAAAAAAACAAAGCATATACAAAAAAATTAATTAATTAAGTGCCAGGAATAAGACATCACATATCAATAATAACCCTAAACGTAAGCACACCGAATTTTCTACTTAAAAGATATGAACTTGACTTTCTTCACAGAACTGGCAGGGAGGAAACCTGTAAATTGCTTATGGAACCAAAAAGTAGCCCACATAGCCAACACAATTCTAAGCAAAAAAAAAAAAAAAGCTGGAGGCATCACACTAACTGACTTCAAACTATACTACAAGTCTACAGTAATCAAAACAGCATGGCACTGGTACCAAAACAGATATATAGACCAATGGAACAGAACAGAGGCCTCAGAAATAACATCACATACCTACAGCCATCTGATCTTTGACAAACCTGACAAAAGCAATGGGGAAAGGATTCCCTGTTTAATCAATGGTGTTGGGAAAACTGGCTAGCCATATGCAGAAAGCTGAAACTGGATCCTTTCTTTACACCTTATACAAAAATTAACTCAATATGGATTAAAGATTTAAATGTAAGACCTAAAACCACAAAACCCTAGAATAAAACCAAGGCAATGTCATTTAAGACATAGGCATGAGCAAAGACTTCATGACTAAAATACCAAAAGCAATGGCAACAAAAGCCAAAATTGACATATGGTATCTAATTAAACTAAAGAGCTTCTGCACAGCAAAAGAAACTATCATCAGAGTAAATAAGCAACCTACAGAATGGGAGAAAATTTTTGCAATCTACCCATCTGACAAAGGGCTAATATCCAGAATCTACAAAGAACTTAAACAACTTTACAAGAAAAACAAAGCAAACAACCCCATCAAAAAGTGGGCAAAGAATATGAACAGACACTTCTCAAAAGGAGACATTTATGCAGCCAAGAAATATATGAAAAAAAGTTCATCATCACTGGTCATTAGAGAAAACAAATCAAAACCACAATGAGATACTATCTCACACCAGTTAGAATGGCAATCATTAAAAAGTCAGGAGACAACAGATGCTGGAGAGGATGTGCAGAAATAGGAATGCTTTTACACTATTGGTGGAAGTGTAAATTAGTTCAACCATTGTGGAAGACAGTGTGGTGATTCCTCAAGGATCTAGAACTAGAAATACCATTTGAATCAGCAATCACATTACTGGGTATATACCCAAAGAATTATAAATCATTCTATTGTAAAGACACATGCACATGTATATTTATTGAGGCACTGTTCACAATAGCAAAGACTTGGAACCAACCCAAATGCACAACAACGGTAGACTGGGTAAAGAAAATGTGGCACATATACCCCACATATACACATAAAAAAGGATGCGTTTATGTCCTTTGCAGGGACATGGATGAAACTGGAAACCATCATTCTCAGCAAACTAACACAAGAACAGAAACCCAAACACCACATGTTCTCACTCATAAGTGGGAGTTGAAGAATGAAAGCACATGGACACAGGGAGGGGAACATCACACACTAGGGCCTGTCGAGGGTTGGGGAGCTAGGGGAGGGATAACATTAGGAGAAATACCTAATGTAGATGAGGTATTTACTTACTGTATATGAATGTCTAAATCCCTTACTAGACTTGGTGATGGATGTAGACAACCACCATGGCACGTGTATACCTATGTAACAAACCTTCACATTATGCACATGTACCCCAAAACTTAAAGTATAATAATATTAATAATAATAATAAAGATATGACCTGGCTGAATGGATGAAAAAAACATAACCCAACTATATGCTGCCTATGAGAAACTCAATTCACCTATAAGGACACATATAGAGTGAAAGGAAAGAGATAGAAAAAGATATTTTAGGTAAACGAACATCAAAAGTGAGCAGGAGTAGCTACACTTATATCAGATGAAACAGACCTTAAGTCAAAAACAATAGAAAGAGACAGATAAGGTCATTATATAATGACAACGGTATCACTTCAGCAAGAGGATATAACAATTCTAAATATCTATGCACCCAACACTGGAGCACCAAGATATATAAAGCAAATATTATTAGATCTAAAGAGAGAGAAACTCCAACACAATAATAGTTAGGCACATCAACAATCCCACTCTCTGCACTGGATAGATCTTTTAGACAGAACAAAGAAATATTGGATTTAAACTGCACTTTAGACCGAAAGTATCTAACAAACATTTACAGAAAATTCACCCAATAGCTATAGAATACACGTTCTTTTCATCAGCACATGGAACATTCTCCAGAATAGACTATATGTTAAGACACAAAACAATTCTCAACAAATTTTTAAAAATCAAAATTGTATCAAGTATCTTCTCAGGTCACAATAAAATAAAACTAGAAATCAATAACAAGAGGAACTTCAAAAACTATACAAATACATGAAAGTTAAGCAACATACTCCTAAATGATGATTGGGTGAAGGAAGACATTAAGAAGAAAAGTTTTAAAATTTCATGAAACAAATGAAAATCAAAACATAACATATCAAACCCTACAGGGTACAGCAAAAGTAGTGCTAAGAGGAAGGTTTATAGCAATAAATGCCTACATCAAAATAATAGAAAATTTTCAAATAAACAATCTAATGATTCACCTCAAGGTATAAGAAAAGCAGAAAACAAAGAAACCCAAAATTAGTAGAAGGAAAGAAATAATAAAGATCAGAGCAAAACTAAATAAAAATTAAAAACAAGGAATCAATTAAATGAAAAGTTCTTTTAAAGATAAACAAAATTTATAAACTCCTATCTAGACAAAGAAAGAAAGAGTGAGAGAGAAAGAGAAAAATAGAGAGAGGAAGGAAGGAAGGAAGGGAGGGAGGGAGGGAGGGAGAGAGGGAGGGAGGAAGGAAAAAGGAAAAGAAAAGAAAGACTTGTATTCTTCACACCTGCTTAACACCATGTGGAAGCCACCAAAACTTATAGCTTGCACCCTCCAGAGCAGCCACCCAAGCTTGGGCTACTTTGACCAAAGGCTGGAGCTGAAGTGGCTGGAATGCAGACAGCAGTGTCCTGAGGGTAAGCAGGGCAACAGTATCCTGGGTCTGGCCCCTAAAACCATTTTTCCCACTTAGGCCTTTAGGCCTGTGATGGGAGGGGCTGTCCTGAAGATTTCTGAAATGCCTTTAAGATCTTTTTTTCTATTGTTTTGGATACTAGCACTTTTTAAAGTGCTAATTAAAACATCCCTTTTAATTAGCCTGCTTAGATAGTTTCTCTACCACAGGGCCAGGCTGCAAATTTTTCAAATTTTTACATTCTTGTTCCAACTTTAAGTCATTTCTTTGCTCTTGTATCTGGTTGTAGGCAGTTAGAAGCAAACACATCACATCTTGAATGTTTTGCTGCTTAGAAATTTCTTCTACCCTAAGTCATCACTCTTAACTTCAAGCTTCCATGGATCCCTAGAGCTTGGACACAATGCAGCCAAGTTCTTTGCTAGGGCATAAAATAGGTGACCTTTACTCCAGTTTCCAATAACTTCCTCATTTCCATCTGAGACCTCATCAACCTGCCCTTTACTGTCCATATTTCTACCATTTTGGTCACAACCATTTAACCAGTCTTCAAAAACGTCCAAATTTTCCTTCATCTTCCTGTCTTCTTCTGAGTCCTCCAAACTCTTCCAATCTCTGCCTGTTACTCAGTTTCAAAGCTACTTCCACACTTGCAGGTATCATTATAGCAATGCCCCAATTATCAATACCAGTTCTCTGTGTTAGTACATTGATGTTATTCTAATGCAGGGGTCCCCAACCCCAGGGCCATGTACCAGTACTGGTCCATGGCCTGTTAGGAACCAGCAGGAAGTGAGCAGCAGGTGAGTGAGCATTATTGACTGAGCTCCACCTCCTGTCAGATCAGAGGCAGCATTAGATTTTCATAGGAGCACAAACCTTATTGTGAACTGCACATGCGAGGGGTTGAGGTTGCATGTTCCTTATGAAAATCTAATGCCCCCTCACCCACCCCCACTCCCAGTCCATGGAAAACTTGTCTTCCACAAACCAGTCCCTGGTTTTATAAAGGTTGGAGACCACTGCTCTAAAGGCATACCTGAGGCTGGGCAATTTATAAGGAAAATGTTTATTTTGGCTCGTGGCTCTGTAGACCGTAAAGCATGGTGCCAGCATGAGCTCTTTAGTGAAACCTCAGAAAACCTACAATTATGGCAGAAAGTAATGAGGAGTCAGTGACACATGGCAAAATGGAGCAAGAGAGAGAGAAAGGGGAGATCCCGGACTCTTAAACAACCAGATCTCACATGAAATACTTAAGCAAGAACTCACTTATCACCAAAGGGATAGTGCTACGGCATTCACAAAAGATTCACTTCCATGATTCAGTCACCTCCCACTATGCCCTACATCCAACACTGGGCGTCACATTTCAACATGAGATTTGGAGAGGACAAACATCCAAACCATATCAGTTGTATCAATTGGGAAAAACTGGGTAACAGGTGCACACAACCTCTCTTTCCCATTTTTGCAACTTTCTGGGAATCTAAAATTATTTCAAAATAAAAAGTTACAAAAAACTTTTTAGGCATTTCAAATATAAGAATATTTTAGTGAAAACTGGTTCCAAATTCTTAAAGTTAGCATTAGTATCTTTCTTATTACTCTGAATGTGACAAGGATAATCCTACATTCTCATCATCTTTTCTTAGAAACTAAACAGATTCATGTATCCAAAATAAGTCAATTTTAACTAAACTTAGTTTGCTTTACATAAATCCCTCAATATTTCCTTGAACTATCTATGTTTTAGTCTTGCAGTAGAATTCTAAAGCAATCCCACCATGGCCCATTCCTGCTCTACCCACATAACTAGAGCTACCATGCTAATACAGTGATCCAGTGAGACCGTGACCCAGGCTGAGCTCTTCTTTCTTTGTAAATGTTGGCTCCAATACAGAGAAGTGTCTCTATATGTGACTGAACATACTGTGGGCATCTTGTTTCTTCCAAGCAGCTGGTCTATGGAGAGAGAGATGGGAAGACTGGTGGCAGATATGCAATGTAGAGAGAACATCTTTTTTGGAAGTCCCTCAGTTCCTTTTGGTGCATATGACCATAGCTTGAGGAGATGGCTCTCAGGGGTACATCTTCAGCCAATTCTTAGGCTGTGTAGGATGTCTGCAAAACCAGGATATTAATACTGGTTATTTTCTTGAAGATGGGATTATGACTGACATGTTTATTTTTTCAACTTTATTTTCCAACTTTCAAGCATTGTAAAAATTGACATAGACACCGTTAGGTTTTCAATGTGTTCATTTTGGTGTCTCAACCCCTGAAATAAATGCTACCTTGAAAGACAAATATTGGGCCAACTTGTATCTGGGAATAGTTTCTCTGTTGTTCAACCAGGAACTACTCACTCCCTCTCTGCCTCATTCCCAAGGAAATTTATTATGGCTTAGTCAAGCTCAATGAAACATTTGGGGCTTTGTTTTTTCTACATTTTTGAAATCTTAATGTGCATAAATATCATGTGATGATATTATCACACCTGATTCTAATCCAGGGAGTCTGGAACAGGGCTTGAGATTCTGCATTTCCAACCAGCTCCCAGTTCTACACATTACAGACCAGGGCTCACTGAATGTGCCAGTCAGCCTAGACCAATGTCCATCCTGTCCTTTTGAATGTGCTTTTCTTGTGAAGTCAGCACTGGGGTCTTCCACTACGGAGAGGCTTCCACATCCTGCTCACTTACAACTACCTGCTACCTCCACACAGATACCAAATAGCCTAGGAGGAGGTCCCATCTCCCCCATAATTTTATCCCCTCACCTGCTCACCTACAGCCAACTCCCCTCTGGACATTGGGGTGCCTTGTCTTACTCTGGCTCCCTTCTTTTTTTAAATTAAGGCAAAATTTACCTAACATAAAATTAGTCAATTTGAAGTATACAAATGAGTTGTTTTTTAGTATATTCACAATGTTGTGAAAGCATCACCTCTATCTAATCTGAAAACATTTCATCGGCCCCAGAAAAACCTTGTATCAATTAGGCAGTCACTCTCCCATTCTCCTCTGCCCCACAGCCCCTGGCAATTTCTGTATCTATGGATTTACCTATCTAGGTATTTAATATAAATGGAATCATACAATATGTGATCTATGGTGTCTGGCTTTTTTCAATGAGCATTATACTTTCTTCTCTTTTTCTTCTACAAACATCAAATGTTCTCATTTCTTTGTGAGATCAAACATCAAAACAATTGAACTCATGGAGATAAAGAATAGAAGGATGGTTACCAGAGGCTGACAAGGGTAGTGAAGGGGAGAGGAAAGGTGGGGATGGTTAATGGGTCCAAAAAAATTTTGGAAAGAATGAATAAAACCTAGTTTTATATCACAACAGGGGGATGATAGCCAATAATAATGTAATTATACATTTTTAAAAATAACTTAAAGAGTAGAATTGGATTGTTTGTAACAGCAAGAATAAAAACTTGAGGGAATGGATACCCAATTTTCCATAATGCAATTATTACACTTTGCACACCTGTACAAAAACATCTCATATGCCCTACAAATATACACCGACTATGTACCCATAAAAATTAAAAGTTAAAAAAATTAAGTTTTACCACATTCCTTACATTTGTAAGACATCTCTTAAATATGAATACTCTGATGGGTAATAATTTTAACGATTGGGGAAAGATTTTCCCATATTTGTTACATTTGTAAAAGTTCTCTGGAAAATGAGTATTCTGATGTTTATTAACATGTGAACTATGGTTAAAGTTTTCCTGATTTTCATAACAAAAAATATATTTCAAAAATCGATGTTGATTCTTACCAAAAAAATGGTTCTGTAGAAGTAGTAGGCATAAATCAAAGTTTCTTCTGAAATATTTTATGTTCTTTGTCTCCTTTGGCACTTAAATTATTGTTAAGAGTAATTGTTGCACATTGGTTATATGCATTATAACATTATTTTTGCCCTTCATATTTACCCATACTTTTCCAGCTTTTTCTTAAGTGTAAATTCTCAAAGGCACAGCTCCCATATCTTCCCAGTATCACCTTTTGGAATGAATATTCTAGCCTTGCTCTGATGAATGACCTTGATTGTAATAAGAATACATAGCTGGGCTTTTGCTACTATTTCCTGCCTCTTCACATTCCAGGGCTCTTTCCTTTGCTCCAGATAGGTGACAAGTTCAGCTTGGAGAACAAGACACAGAGGGAGAACAGGTTTCTGTAGTTCTCTAACATCACATCGTTATCCAGTTTACACTGAGCAGGGTCCAGTCATTCTCACTCAACTAGCGAGAAATCTATGGTCACATTCATGAATGTCAACAGTCCCATTTCCCAGCTTCCAGGGTGTTCTGTCATCTTATTTATGGATTTCCCAGTACCTGCAGGTCATGAAGGGACACAGGTTGTGGCAGAGCCATCTGATGATTCCCAAAACCAAGGAGACAATTTGAAGATGATACCCCAGCTAGGAAGGTGGCCCAACAAGCATTTTATTATCAAGATTCATCCATGTTGTAGGATGTATCAATACTTTATTCTTTTCATGACTGAATAATAGTTCATTGTATGGATACACCGAATTTTGTTTATCCATTCTCGGTTGATAGACATTTTGGTTGTTCCTCTTTTTTTGGCTTTTGGAAATAGTGCGGCTATGAACATTTATGTGCGAGTGTTTGAATATCTGTTTTCAGTTCTTTTGAGTATATACCTGGAAGTGGAACTACTGGTCATATGGTAATTCTATGTTTAACTTTTTGAGAAATCCCCAAACAGTTTTCTACAGTAGCTGAGCCATTTTACATTCCCATCAACAATGTACAAGTGTTCCAGTTTCTCCTATCCTTGAAGAACCTTATTTTCCATTTTCTAATTAGCTATCCTGGTGGGCATGAAGAGGTATCATATTGTGGTTTTAATTTGTGTTTCCCTAATGACTAATGCTGTTGGGCATCTTTTCACGTTCTTGTGGCTAATTTATGTATCTTTATTGCTGTCTTTTTTTTTTTTGAGATGGAGTTTCACTCTTATTGCCCAGGCTGGAGTACAGTGGCATGATCTCAGCTCACAGCAACCTCCACCTTCTGGATTCAAATGATTTCCTGCCTCAGCTTCCTGAGTAGCTGGGATTACAGGCATGAGTCACCACGCCTGGCTAATTTTTGTATTTTTAGTAAAGACAGGGTTTTACCATATTGGCCAGGCTGGTCTCAAACTCCTGACCTTATGATCCCCCTCCCCCAACCTCGGCCTCCCAAAGTGCTGGGATTACAGGTGTGAGCCACCACACCTGGCTTTATGTATCTTCTTTAGAGAAATGTGTATTCAAATACTTTGCCCATTTTTTAAATTGGATTGTTTGTCCCTTTATTGTTGAGTTGTACAAGTTCTCGGTATATTGTGGATACTAGGCCTTTATCAAATATATGCCTTGCAAATATTTCTTCCATCTTGTCGGTTGTATTTTTATTTTCCTGATAGTCTTCTGTGGTTCACAAAAGTTTTTAATTTTGATGAAGTCTAATTTGTCAGTTTTCTCCTTTGATGCAGTTCTTCTAGTGTCCAATCTAAGACTCCATTGCCAAATACAAGGTCATGAAGGTTTATCTTTATGTCTTCTTTGAAGAGTTTTATAGTTTTGGCTCTTACATTTAGGCATCTGATCTATTTTGAATTAGTTTTTATATATGGCATAAGGTAGAGATCCTACTTCTTTATTTTGCATGTGAATATTCAGTTCCCTCAGTACCATTTGTTGAAGAGACAATTATTTCCCTATTGAATGGCCTTGGCACCCAGTTCAAAATCAGTTGACCATAAAAGGATGTGGTTTATTTCTGGACTCTTGATTCTATTCCATTGATCTGTATGTCTATCCTTATGCCAGTACCACCTGCTTTGATAACTACTGCTTATTTTTACCTTTATTGGAATACTATGCAGCCATAAAAAATGATGAGTTTGTGTCCTTTGTAGAGACATGGATGAATCTAGAAACCATCATTCTCAGCAAACTGACATAAGAACAGAAAACAAAACACCACATGTTTTCACTCACAGGCAGGTGATGAACACTTTATTGAGGCATAAGTGACAAACAGGAATTGTATATTTTTAAAGCATACAACTAGATATTTTGATAAATGCACGTATCATAAAATTATCACCATGATCAAGCTAATTAACATATCTATCACCTCACATAGTTACCATTTTCTTCCTTTTTTATGTGTAATGATAACACAAGATCTATCATTCTAGCAAATTTCAAGTATACAATACAGTATTAACTGTATTCACCATGTTGTACATTAGATCTCCAGAATAATTTCATCTTGCATAACTGAAATTTTATACTTTTTGACCAATGTCTGCTCATTTCCTTCTCACTCTTACCCCCAACTCCAGCAACCACCATTCTCATCTCTGCTTCTAGGAGTTTGGCTGCTTTAGTATCCATATGAGTAAGATCGTGCAACATTTATTTTTCTGTTTCTGGCTTATTTCACTTAGCATAATGTCCTCCAGGCCCATCCATGTTACTGCAAATGGCAGTATTTCCTTCTTCGTTAAGGCTGAATAACGATCTATTGTGTGTACACACACACATGCACACACCACACACACGCAGACACACACACACACACACACATTTTTTAATCCGTTCAGTCACTAGGTTGTTTCCATATCTTGGCTACTGTGAATAATGCCACAGTGAACATGGGAGCACATATATCTCTTTAAGATCCAGATTTCATTTCCTTTGGATATATACTCAGAAGGGGGATTGCTAGATCATGTGGTAGTTCTACTTTTAATCTTTTGCAGAATCTTCATTTTCCCCACATTGTCAGCGAGACTTGTTATCTTTGGTCTTTTTGATAGTAGCCATTCTAATAGGTGTGAAGTGATATCTCACTGTGGTTTTGATTTGCATTTCCCTCATAAATAGCAATGCTGAGCACTTCTTTCTGTATCTATTGGCCATCTGTATGTCCTCCTTTGAAAAATTTATATTCTGGTCCTTTGCCTATTTTTAATTGGATAATTTGGGGGTTTTTGTTTCATTGGTTGGTGGGTTTTTGCTATTGATTTGTATGTGTTTCTTATTTATTTTGGAGATTAACCCTTACCATATGTATGGTTTACAGATATTTTCTCCCATTCTATAGGTTGCTTTTTCACTTTGCTGATTGTTTCCTTTGCTGTATAGAAGCTTTTAAGTTTGATGCAATCCTCTTGTCTATTTTTGCTTTTGTTGCCTGTGCAAAAAAAAAATAATTGCCAAAACCAACACTGTGGAGCTTTTCCCTTACGTTTTCTTCTAGTAGTTTTATAGTTTCAGGTCTTACATTTAAGCCTCTAATGTATTTTAAATTGTTTTTTTATATGGTGTGAGATAAAGATCCAATTTCATTCTTTTGCATGTGCATATCCAGTCTTCCAGCATCATCTATTGAAGGTATTATCCTTTCCCCAAGTGTGCTTTCGGTATCCTTGCTGAAGATCAGTTGATTGTAAATATATGGATTTATTTCTAGGCTCTCTATTCTATTCCACTGATCTTTTTCTCTGTATTTATACCAATATCATACTGTTTTGATTAGTATAGCTTTGTAATGTATTTTGAAATTCAGAAGTGAGGTGCCTCCAGCTTTGTTCTTCATTGCTTTGGATATTTGGGATCTGTTGTGGTCCCAAATGAATTTGGAGGCTTTTTCTATTTTTATAAAGAATGATATTGACATTTTGAAAGGATTTCATTGAATCTATAGATCACTTTGGTAGTATGGACATTTTAACAATATTAATTCTCTTAATCCATAAA